TTCTTATTTCATTGAAATCATATGTGAACTTTTCAGAGAATTGAACTTGGGATATAATGCACAATTCATATGGACTGCTTTTAAGTTGTTTTATGGTGCTTTTTTGCATTTTGGAGCTTAACAGCCCCTGTCCTCTTCACTTTCATTATATTGAAAAGAGCAGCAAGGATATTCTTCAGAAATTCTGTTTTTGTGTTCTAAAGAAGAAAGAAAGCCATACAGGTTTGGAATGACATGAGATTGATACAATGAAGACGGAATGTTCATTTTAATGGGTGAACTATCCATTTAACATGCTATACAGAATGAAAGTCACACACACACACACACACACACACACACACAATTTAGTGAGAGGATGAGAGAGTGACAGAGTCATGTAATGTTTTTCTGGTCAACATGAGCTCAGGGTCACTGTGTCCCTGTCACAGTAACTAGACTAACTAGATCTGTTTCTCTTCAGGCACAAAGCTTTGAACACAGATGCGTGTGTGTGCGCATATGTGTGTGTGCACTAGTGTTCCTGTTCTTTAATTAGCAGTCGTTTAAGGCAGACTTATTAACAAGGAAATCACTCTGCCTGCCTCACTCTCTATTCCTCTGTGTATTTAAGGTGAGATCAGACCTTGTACATTGGACAGGGTTTTTGTTTTGACATGATCAGCAACATTCTGAGTTGCCCTTTTTGCTATTGTTTATTAGGAGATGCTTATGCTGCAAAAGAAAAGTGCAGCAAGCCTATAACAGGAAGCATACATTATTCACTGCTTTCTCCCCCTTAAAAAAACTTCTTGCTATATTTAACATTTCATATTTCCATGTAGCTTACAGATATCGTGGCCATAAAAAAGTATATGGATGCCATACTTTTAAAATGTCTGAATGTCATGAGTCATCTTCACACAGCCCAGTTAAGGCTTCTCAGTGTCTGCTCAAAATTTAGTGTGAAGACGCAATACTGCATTAAAGCCAGTCTAGATGCCTGTTCTGACCCTCTAGTATACAGTTTTAACTGCTGTGTAAATGCATTTATGCCACCTCTAAGCAGCGTTAAGCAGTCTGTGTAAAGACACCTAAATGTCACTACAGAAGCACTTCTGTGCCACATTTGCAGGCGATATGGCCAAAAAAAATACAAATCACGATAAAATGTGTTCAAATCAGTTGATATTGATACTTATCACGATAAATTTCACATTTTATTTCTTTAAATTTTAAAGGCAGATTTTTGCTCCTAAGTGAAAGTTGTAGAAACCAGACTGTTAACTTTGGTTTTAAATAGTGGTCGATATGAGATTTTTAATGGCCGATTGGCCAATATGAGGCTGATATAATATATGTAATTGCAGTAAATGAGAGACAAAAATGGGTGAAACTAAATGAACATTTATTATGCATAAACTTTTATTAAAACCTAAATTTAAAAAATGTAAAGAACTGAGGTTGCATTTAGTGCAGCCTTTCCTTTATACGTTTTATAACCCACTCAATCTGGCAACACTGGTCAACAGCTTGTCTTTCAAAATAAAAGTCTTGCATAAGAAAAACATTTAGAATGACGTTTTTTGTTATTGATGTTGTTTCTTTGACTGTACACTCCGCAACCCACTCAGAACAGTCTTGCGACCCAGCAGTTTGCATCATTTGCATCAAATATTTGAAGGTGCCACTGTACATTCTGTATATGAACACTTACAGTAGATCAAGAAGTTTAGATTTGTTCAGTATTGAGTTTGAGATTGATCTCCACTTCAAGATAGTGGCCATCAAAATAGTTGTAGGATGTGGAAGCACATTATTGCTGGACATTGTTCCTGTAATCATTTCTCAGGCTGCTCAATGTGTCCTGGTTGCCTCATTTGTTCTTGTGTTCTTATTTAATTGACCAAATCCCTGTGAAAGATGTGCAGGCCATCTTTCATCTGAGATTAGACAGAAACCTGCAGCAGCAGTGTCCTGTTACCAGAGCTGATGATTCATCAGATAACTGTAGACTGATGTTATCTAACACCCCAATCAGATACTGCTCTCTCTCTCTCGCTCTCTCTCTGTTGCTCTTTCTTTTCCACTGAGCTGTAAACAGAGTCCCGTCTCTCATAGTAAGCTCATGTGCACTTCTGACTTACTGTTAAACTGACTCTTTCCTCTGCCATACGTAAACTGAGTCCTCTCTGGACATCTGTCTGTGGGCACTGAGTCATTTTACTTGCTGATTAAACTAACTCTCAGAGTCCTTTGGGTTCTTTGTCAGGAAGAGTGGGCAGTATGAAGCCAGTGAAAGTAGGTCATGAGCGACTGATTGAGTTCTCTTTCTTGTGTGGGATTCACCAGTGCTGCTGTATTAATCTCAGTAAAACACCAGAGACTTTAGTCTTTGCATCGTAAGTCATCTTTTCAGTAATCTGTGAGGTATGAGTATCTGCATGGAATCTGCACTGAATTCCACAGATTCCATGGATTTTGAGCACAATTCATTACTAAAGTTCTACATATCTGTAAATCTGTACACATCTGTGGAGCTTTCTGCACACACACACACTTAATATCCAGCGATATAGTCGACTTGATTGCACAAATACTATTTAAACTGAACTGAGCTGGATGATGACATCAATTAATTCAATGATGAACTGCCTTTAACTGAAAATTGAGTGTTTACTATTGTCCTTTTGCATTATTGACACACTATTTTCCTATTTAATACTGTAAAGTTGCATTGACACAATTTGTATTGTTAAAAGCGCTATATAAATAAAGGTGACTTGACGACTTGACACACACACACATTTTAATAATTTTGCTCTCATATTGGCATTATATCAGGAATTGCCTCTCTGTTTAAAAAAATTATAATAATAATATCTTCTAACCCTCTGTGCTCTTTTCAGTGGCATAATAATCTGTGTTGTTTTTGCTAGTCAGGGTTGTGTGCAGTGCTTGGGTTTGTTTATCTGTGTGTGTGTGTGTGTGTGTGTGTGTGTGTGCACGCAGGGATTAGCTGCCTCACTTCACTTCTCCAGTACCCTCACTAACCGAGCCTGACAGTCACCTCATCACCTGACTCCTCATGCTCACTTCTCATTGGCTGGCTCCTGTCAGCCTCCATGTGGCAGTGAGATCAGTGATGCCGAGAGGGCGGGGCTATGTGGCAGCTGTCGTAGGCCGTTGGGCCGCGAGGGTAAACATAGCAGGACTGGACCCACAGAAATAAACTCCAGCCTCCAATGGCCTGGTTCGTCAGGAGCCAGAGATCCTCATCTGCGCTTCTCCACTCAGACCCCCAGAGACCCAGCAAGGGCAAAGGAACATGAGCAACCGATGACGCAACCGATTATTTCACATCAGCACTGACCTCCACTGGGTGCTGGGAAATTCTAGAAGCACTGCTGATGAAACAATATAATTTACAATGATTTTTCCATATTTTAACATATTCCTTACTTGGACATCATCTGCCTTTGGGACAAGTAATATCACTTATCAGATCAAAGGATATAGTTTGTGCCACATTATATAATTTAATCCCAAGGTGGAGTGAACATTGTCCATTTTTTATTTTGTCAAATTTTGTCTTCACAAAACTATACTCAAACATTTTATTTCCAGATAAAATAGTTTTAGACGGCATGCGGTGTGTTTGGTTCACATTCAGAGCCTGTGATGGAGCTGTCCATTCAGCACCACAATGACATGCACTCACTCTGATTGGCTAATGCTTTTACAGGGACTCATTCTGATTGTCCAATCCTCTACCAATCAGAATCCTCTGCAGGACTGGAAAATGGGAATTATATGGCCATTTTTGAGGTTTAATAGATGTGTTTGGAATCTTTGTAAATGTGCATGCGTGCTGGTCATTTTAGTCAGAAATAGTAGTCAAACTTTCAGGGGTGTCCTCATTCTAGTCTCTTCAAAAACCCCAAAAAGTGTCTCTTTATTTATCTTTCAATGCAGTGAAATTTACTAGTAATTTCTGAATGAAAATTGTTTCTACACCTTGTTTTTTCTGTGTATGTGTGTTCACACTGACAGTGATTAAATCAGTGAAAGTCTGTGTCCTGTTTTTTGTTACTGGGTGACAATCACACGCTTTACTGTCTGCACTTCCAGTGGTAGTTTCTGCAGTGAATAACTATGTATTTGCATAGATTTTGTTACATCGCCAACAATTGCTATCCCTCATGTTACCTCAAATCACTAACTCTCATTGAAATTTATTTCTGGTCACACTGATGCTGCAAATCACTGTCAGTTTAAGTACTCCTTGTGTATTTTTGTTCATATGTGACTGTGTGATTTTGTTGGTACAGAAACACATTTTCTAACCTCAAAAATAAGAGGGAAATGATAAGTTAGAATGCTATTCATACCCAAAAACCCAACTCTAAACCTAAAATGTTATTGGTTGATATAAATGTTGTTCTGGGACCAATAGGGATGCTAATTCAGGAACATCTCTTACTTTGCAAAATCATGGTCACTGTATTAAAGAGTGTCTGGAGTGGAGACTGACTCAGCAGAGTCTTGTCTTTTATACTCAGTCAAATCTGAACGTCACATCCCTCAAAATATGAGTCTGCACTGAACACTTCTGTTGCTCTTTACTGACAAATTCAGCCCTTTTTTCCGAACACATATCAAAATATAACAGATGTTTATGTGTTCAGACAGCTTGTGGATGTTTCTGTGACCTGTGGGTCAATGGGATCAGAGAAACGCTGCTAGCCTATACACGTGACTAGATATTTACCATAATATCAGCAGTGTGTATGTGTGTGGCATATAGCAGCTCAAACTGGAATAGAACAAAACACCAAACAATACATTTCTCTCATCCTCACACACACACACACACACACACACACACACACACTCTGTTCGAAGTTTTTACCATCCATCTGTATTAAGGGATTAATGGACCAGCTGTCGACTTCCTCATAGTCCCTCACACACAGCAGCAGCAGTGAGACCAGACAGGAATCTCTTTGAGTCTGGAAGGAAGCAGGGGGGAGTGGCCTTAAGGATCTGAGCATGCTCAGTGAGAGCCGCTCATGCCCTCATCTGCAGAAAGAGAGAGAGAGGCTGCTGCATTTCAGAGAGGTGCACATGAGCGCTTCACACACAGGATGTGGAAGTATGGCTGGCCCGGCACTTTCATGCAGAATGAGGCATTCTGAGTCGGGCTGATCACCTGTGCTTGGGATCTCCCGAACCGACCCGGATTAACATCCAGCTCGGGATGCCTTGGGAAAGGCGGCCCGTGAAATGGGAAGATGACACTGTGGGATCAGGACAGCCTGTACTGCACTAATGAAAGGCTTCAAGCTCGCCTGGTAAGATAGAAAGACAGATTCCACCGGTCTGTCATGGTCTGCCTCTCCTCTCTGTGCTGTGCTCGTTTCTGTTTACCTCTTATTTTAGTGTAGCAGGAAAGAAATTTTGACTTGCCATGCTCATCCTAAACACCTGCATTGTGCTGTATGCGCTCTGAATCTGTCGCTGTCAGAGATCTGCAATGACGTATTAATGTCCACTTGTTTACATCAACCAAGTACAGTGTCGACTTGGTCTGATGACTGAATTAATTCTCCATAGCTCCAAGCGATTTGCAGGCACACAGCTGAGGCCGAGATGGTTGACTTTAATGTTAAACTTTTATTGGTTATGTAACAGTGCCCTCTTAGATAGTGTTGGATAGTGGAAGCTTATTTAGGGGTTCTGAGTTCAGGACAGATTAATCTTTGAAGTGACAGTGTAGTTTTCATGTGATAATATCTTCATATTCTTTTGGAGTGTTCTGTATTGATACTAAATTCAGTTTCTCCTTCT